TGCTTCGACATCTAAAAAACTGAACTGAACAGAAGGACCCCTGAGGTGATGAGTCTTATCCATTGATTTTACAACTATACTTCAGGGTCTTTTCAAGCAGATAGTTTTAGTATGTCAGTGGGGAAGCTAAAAGAGAACATCTCCTAAATTTAACCTGTATTAGTCCTGCAGGCAAATTTACTGTTGCGTGTCCTCTAAATTTTATATTTATTATTTTATATCATGAACTCATACAGACATACAGTATGTGTGTGACAGTGGTCATCAGTTGTGACAGAGTGTTACTTGCCCACTTCAACCACGACCACTTCCTCTTGAGGGTACACAATCTCGGGCAGTTGGAAAACCATAGGATCTAAAGACACATAATCAACATCAGAGAAGAATACAATACAACATAATATAATATACTGAAACAGCCATTAGGAAAATCCAAATAATTGATTAAATAAATGATCTCCGTGGGGAAGTTACTGTAGCTGTAAAAGTTAAATCAGTCATCAGTTACTCATTCACTTTCAGAACACACAACTTTCATGCTGCTCTGGCCTGCTGCAGCTTCTTATCCTATAAAATGCAAATCCTAAAATACATTTTACAATCCAGCACATGCATTTCACATAAATGGCATTACAAATAATATAGATGACTTTCATAACAAACTAAAGAAGTCTTGATTGGAAAAAAGAGCATGTAATGATCGGGCGAATAAAACAAATAATCATATTAAAATAAATAATTCTCCCTCTGATGGCACTGAAGGATCAAATGATCTGCAGTTCATACCGTCGTCGTCAACAGTCAGCTGGACGCTGCGTGCACTGGTGTACTTCCTGCCGTCCAAGCTAATGTTTACCTGGCAGGTGTATTTCCCAGCATCCCCCTTTGAGACTGCAGGGAGTCTCAAGAAGCCATCGTTATCCACAGAGAAGGACTCTGGCCGTTCCAATGGCTGGCAGTCCTATACACAGAAACACAGAGTAACTTTATTCTTAAAGCTACAAAGTTCCTCAGACAAGGCAACAAATTAAAAGCCATGAACAACCAGATTAAAATGAAATAAGGTAAACAGAAGCCAGGAGCAGTGACGGCCCCTGACTAAGTGACATATTTTATGGATATTTCATATTATTTACAATAATAATAGCACTACAGAACGACTGATACAGTGAAAAGTGAACACAATAACTGCAGGAGGTTTGAATTTGGATGAATTTTGAGCAGACTATTTCTAACAGCTCAGTAATTTCCCTTAACGTGGCACTGGAGTTTTATAAGATCATTTTAGAAACAGCTAAATAGTGCATTTGTTGGGTACTATAGTTTCAGCCACAGCTTAACCCACTGTTTTGTTTGGGATTGATTTGAAATAAATGACAGTGGCGCAACAATGGAGCTCGATGGCGGGCTAGAGAGTTATAAATAAAAAAGAGGGATAGGTGGTAACATACTGTAACAGAGGCACCAATATGATCTCCCTTTAAGAATAATCTGGATGTATTTGTTTATTTTAGCCTTCAGTTGTTGTTGTTGTTGTATACATATGTATATGTATACATATGTTGTCTGTCTTTATCTACTTGTTAACCTTTTTTTATTGTTTTATTACTTCGATTTGCTTCTGTATAATCCCTAACCCTAACTGGTGTAATTTTCCTGTATGCTGCATTTCCATGGAACGGTTTGGCAGTATGCCCTTTGGCTTTCCTATTGAACAGTTTGTAACATAATGGGCCCCTTCCAGATCCAAATTTGTATCTACAGCAACAGCAGAATCATGGAAACCAGTGTCAACATCATTACCAGATGTTCTGTACCACCTTCACGTAGACGGCACACGTCATATTTCCGATGTGTACAGGAGTGTACAGTGTTGCATTTATCCAGCTGAACTGGGAGCTAAATAAAGCAAGAAGACATACAAATTGCAGTGAAAAGAGCACATGAATGTCCCAGAGCTGGGTATACCTTCATCCACTGTATGCTCCTTGTGTCGTTCAGGCTGAGGATATCTGTCTGTTTGCAGTGAAGACCTCCATTGACACCCACAGAGATGGATTTGTTCTCAGGTGGTTCTGGACACACTCCACTGGACACCGACAGCCAAAACGTTATCCTTGATAATCTAGTATTATCCCTAAAGAGAAGGAGGTTAACAGTGAAACAGCTGCAGGAAAGGTCAACCTGAGCTCCAGTTAACATATATGACCTGATACTGTGCAGATCTCTTTTGGGGAATGATTTGAGAAATTCAGATGTTGCAAGTTTTTCTATTCAATTTCCATTTCCATGTTGGAACCATTTTTTGAGGACAATAGCGTCCCAGAAACCAAGCAGTACTCCCATTTGCTGTCTGTTAGCTTGGTTTATATAAATGAGGGCAGGATAAATCTTAAAATAACTCCTCATTATACATCACAGTTAAACACTTCAAACGACAGCCTGCAAAAACCAAGAGAGAGAGAGTTGTTGCTTCTACTTTATGATGACTTTGTGGCAATCGTGGCGCCGTATTGCCTACCCTCATCCACATAAATTGTGCAGACAACATATTAGAAACACATTTCTGTACTTGACAAAGCAGCTTTGAGCTCCTTATTTTGTCTTTAGAGAGTTTCTATACCTTTTCTTACAGGTGTAGGGTCCATTATGAGACATCTGCACAGGTAGGAAGTACAATAACCCGCCCCTGACTTCCACTCCAGCAGGCAGGCTCAGGTTGTTCGTCCCCTCTCTGCTCCAGGTCACGTTGGTGTGAACATCAGCAGTGATGCACTTCAGCACAAAGAGGTGGCCAACGCTCACATAGTAGGTCTCTGTCTCCCCACTGTGGTCTGGTGTGGCAGTGCAAAGGGAGACCAGTCATTTTACATTCTCTGCCACACATGAGCACTTTGCATGCTTAAAAAGGGCAAAACAACCCTTCATATGATTTTAATTTATCCATCCATTCATTCATTCATTCATCCATTCATTACCTCTGCCTATTTGTTTATTTGTTGTATTTGTATTGTTTGCTAGGGGCACCCATGGAGGCCAGCAATAACCATATTCATCCAAGTATGAGCAACGATAACCAAATTTAACCAAAATACTCACCCTTACATATTAAAACAACAGAATCACACATTATATTTATTGTTGCTTCAGTAAAATGCAGCCTGTTTAATAGTTAAAATCCTCTCTCTCGAAAATGGTATTTTTTTGTACACATAGGCCACATGACCTGAGAAATTTACTGAGCTAAAGTTACAACTAATAATGTTGGAGTGAATTTCTTTGCTATGCCAGGACCTGCACATATATTGGGATGCCAGAAATGAAAGCAGTATAAAAAAAGGGAACTGGCAAAACCCAAATAATAATAATTTAATCATCAACTTTTTTCAGCTCAGAAAACTGCTCCCGGCCAGGCTTAAGAAGCAAACGATAGCAAGGAAGCTGTGTGTGCAAATGTTTATAGTCCCTGTCACTGAGTAAGACTCTCTCAGTTTACATGAACAAGAGAGAGAGAGAGTACGTGCATGTGCTTTTTGTGCAGAATGCACCAAATTAGCTCTGGTTCTTGACCCGGTTCTATTCAAGATTCTTGGGACCTTGGAGCAATCTAGCAAACCAGCCCACATTTCCACCAGTTTTCAGTGGAACCATTGTAATCGGATTCTTCATGCATAATGCATAATGACCTGTAGAATATGAGATGCCACTTTGGTTCCCAAGGAAAATCTGCTATTTTAAGGTTCGAGCTGGGAACCAACTTTTCAGGGTTCCAAACCTATTTATATTTGGTCAAAATGCTTGGAAAGTTCACAACTAGGTCTGCAAACCAGAAGAGAGCCGGTTCCCTGTTGGTAGAAGGCCTAAGAGAGAACTTAATGTTTTGTCTCATAACTTTTGAACAAGAACATTTCCAACATTAACATTCAGAATATCAGAAGAGGATTAGAGGATATTAGAGGACTGTGTAGCATTGGTGGAGGTATATTCTCTAACTGCTTTAATATGCAGTGATTTAGAAGCTGCTTCAATAGTTTTTCCACTTTCTAAAAATAAAATGGTATAACAGCTGATAATGTGAGCAGCTCCACAGTCGTACATCTTGCAAGCACTGATATGAGAGAAAATAACGCTCATTTTAACCTAAATTCCAGTTTAAGTCCAAGACTGGATACAGCAACAGAGGTTATATTCAGCCTTTAGGAGGAAAGTCTGTTCGTTCAAAAAGTTTCCAAATGAATCATCAAGTGTCAGGACAATCAACATACAACAATAAAAACAGCCAAGACAGGAAATTCAGAATCCACAGTCAAAACCTCAGAATGACTGTGAACAGTGACACTGACTGCCCACACTCTGTGTGGTGGAATGAATGACTGTTCAGTGGCACTGTTGTAAACCGTATTTTCAACTGTAAAACCATGTACAGCATAGCACACACCTCCTACACGCAACCTTGGAGACAATCATTTCATTTACTTAGGCTATTTTTATCTATTTATTCATTTATTTATTTACCAACCCTTACCAACATGGGGTTGTGGGAGCGTGGTTGGTTCTTTTTCTTTGTTTTGGTTGTTTCTGTCACAGATACCAGGCCAGGTCCTGCATTTGATGTACTGCATTAAACTCAATGAAAAGATTTGGAAAAAAAGAGGTCGTGTAGCCTTCTGTATGAGCTCTCCTTCCTCATCCTCATACTCTCACCGCCAACAGGTGGCGCTACTGCAACGCATTGTAATGCTGCATTCATTCAACACTGGCAGAATTGGAAGAATGAGTGTGTGCCCATGATACGACTTTAGGCATTATCTTTGAGGTAACCAAACCTTGAATTAAAAAAAGATAAAAACGAAGATAATGTTAATACAGCAATACAAATGAGCTGGTTTTAAATTTGTTACAAGTTAATTAAAGTCAGATATACTAGAGTAGCTAAGTAGCTTGTATGGTATGGGTTTTGCTCACAGTGGGTATTTCTGTAGCTCATTCACCAGCCTGGACTTCTCATAGCGACACATATATATAAACCACTAGTCCTAACGGGTTATGGATGTTCCTATTGTCACGTGAACGCAGCCTAAGAAAGGCTTCTGACGGCGGGCTTACTAAACCACGGTAAACTAATGTTAAACTACAGTAAACTAATGTTAAACTATGGTGAACTAATGTTAAACTACGGTGAACTAATGTTAAACTACAGTAAATTTATGTTAAACTACGGTGAACTAATGTTAAACCACGAGTAAAGTTAGTGGAAAGAAAACAGGCTACAGAATTGTAAAAATGAAGGAAATTAAGAATTAGACAAACATAACTATTTACTAAACACTGAAAATAAAGTGAAAGAACATATTTTTGAGAGGGTTTGGGGAGGATGAGAAGAGTGAGACGGCGGGAGTCGGGACTGTGAGGCTGCAGCTGATACTGTTAGCTAGCTGCTAGTTTAACTGGCTGCTGCTTTGTGAACGCTTGTTTTCCAGGTTCGCAATATGTAAGTCAGTCCAAAGTACACCAAAACCTGGGAGGTGGATGCTTCTGCACGGAGGAAGGCAAAGGGCAAACATAAGGTATGTCCAGTAACTTGAACTCAGTTGCCACCTGCTAGTGTTTACTTAATGTGTTGACTGTTTGTCTGAGTGGGTGAGTGCGGTCGGGCTGTGTGTGTGTGTGTGTGTGTGTGTGAGACTTACCGGCAGGTTACATAAATGCATTGTAGTCTTTGTGGTGTATGAACAGAAACATTATTGGCCTGTTTTGCAGTGGTTACAGTGTTGCACAGTCTTGTGCAAACATTGTTGATCTCATCTCTTCTTAGATTTATGTTTTAAGGTTTGGAGCATGTTTGGTATCTATGGCTTAATAATATGGTTTTACCTTGACAATTGTCGTAAGCCTCAGAGGATGGCAACTAACAATCAATTATTATCATTATTGATTAATCTACTGATCATTTTCTAGATTAATCAATAGATTGCTCTATAGAATCTCAGAAAGTAGTGAAAAATGTCCATGTCCAAGTCCAAGGTGATGTCTGTGAATGTCTTGTATTGTCACTCCCAAACTCTTGACTCTGCAGTCATCCCCTGGTGTTTTCCTTCTGTTTTCAGTTGCTGCTGTTGTAATGCTTTGTTTGTGTACTATATGAACCTTTGGACCAGAGAAAAAGACTTGTTGGCGATGGTGCAGTTCAGGTTTGATAGAGGTGGCAGACCTTTGGCATTTCTTTAGGGTTTATAAGAGGAAGTTATCAACAGATGTACGGCGTTGTGAGTGAGTGTGACTGCTGTGCAAGTTGATGTGTGTCCCTCCCTTGATGTTTCCCCTGCATTACATTTACTGAGTAATTTTCTGCTGATGGATGAAGCTTCGCCTGTGTGCCATGTGTTTTTGTGCTAGACATTTGTTACTTATCTTTTTGTTGGCAAACAGCAAGGTTTTAGACTACCTGAATTAAAGGATAGGTTCCTCTCCACTGTGTACACTGATCTGAGTGGGAGTAGTAAATGATGTAACATACAAGACATCAACATCCTTTATTGTAGCAGAGTTCGCACTATCTTTCATGATAATCAGGGGCATTTTGATTTGTCGAGTGATGTGTGTTTTTCTGGATTGCCAGCTTCCGTTCAGAGGAGGAGCGGTGTCTGCCACTTAAGGTCACAGATCTAAATCTATTATAGGAATTGTTAAATGTTATCAGTGTAATTAGCTTAGCTGATTGGCAGTTTATTGCTGTCAAACAAGAGGCTGAAGTCTAAATTTAATATTGACCACCATGTTCTTTAGTACCACATTTTCTTATTAAAATAATCTACTTTGGTTGGATTTTCTGATTGAAATATTTCTGTTCTGGCAAGATTTTGTACTCTATCTTAAAGAACCATCTGTGTCTTTCATCCCATTAACCACAAATGCGGTATACTTAACATTACTGGTGAATGTTTCAGATAGCACATACTTTGTATGAGTAATTATTCTACTATCCTATATCATGACACAGCCACTGGTTTCCATTCATTTCATGACGTAAGGGAAATGATCTCGCAGATACCTATCTACCTACCTAGATAATCTGGATCAAGATAAAGAATCAGTGACCAACCCATCACATGTTGGGACTGGGTTTAGCAAAGCTTGTCAGTTCATCAGCTGACTCAGAGAGTCCTAGATTGCCCCAACAAGGAGAGTTTATAAAAAGTTATAGTATAGTATGTGAGAAAAATAGAGCTCCAACATGTCCACTCTCCCTAATGGAAACTTGGCCAAGCTGCAGTAAGCTACTGTAGTTGTTTTTAAAGGAAACTAATGAGAGTTTCAGCCTCTTATGTAAAACTGGGTTTTATTGTGTAACTGAGTGAGCAATTTCCTTTCTAACACAGTGCTGACGTCATTCAGGTAAGGGACTTCCTTGAGACACAACCATAAAAGTGTGAATGTAAATGTTTGCCATCTTTGACCTATTTAATTAACAGAGGACGCAGATTGAAAGAACCCACTGACATTGCAGTCAGAAGAAGATGTAAGTAACCGTTGGTAAAATTCAGCTGGGGGCGGGAGCAGATTAAACTAGGTTTATGCTCAATGCAGTGTCCCCAGCAGTTCTCGAAAACATTAATGTCCTGTTGGCCCAAAAATACAGTGTCTGGGACAACTCAGGGACGGGACAAATTAATCATTCCAAATTAAATTTTTGCTCTACGCTACATTACGCACACTTACACATGCCCCTCAGAAGTGTGGCTTAGCTACATTTGACATTCTCTCTGACTCTTTCTCTGCAACTGAAATGGATGACATGAAATATTTGTACAGCATTCATTTTCATAAAGGTTGTTTTAAGTCGAATTCCCAAGTTCCCAGTTGGAAATTTCCACTGGAATAAAGGCGAAGGATTTTGGCCTTTATAATTATCAATGATCAATAGTAAGTGAAAATGTTAGTAATTAACTGTTATTAGCACTTGTGTCTTTTGTATCTCAGTACTGTCCTACTTCCATGTTGCTATGGTGTTTCTCTCTCACTAGTTCCCTCTGGATCTCTGGGTTTGGGTGTTCTATAGCTTGTAAATATTTAAATCATTCATTTGATCTACTCCCTCCCATTTGGAGTTTTTTTTTTGTTACTTCAAATATACAGTATGATGTTCCTGCCTGTAGAAATGTTGTAATTTGGCCAAATAATAATAATGTTCAGAGCGTGTGTATATAAAACAGAAACAGGTTTGCAGTTTGTAGTGATTGATGATGACAGATTTTATTTTTTGGCCATATTGCCCAGCCCTACAATCATCACTGACTGGTGTGCCATTGATTCAGAGCCTCAACTGTATTGGTGTGTGGTTTGTCACCCTACAACAAGGCACAATATTGTGCTAATAGTGCATTCCAAGGTTGTGTTGTCAGAATAAAACGTCACAGAGCACAATATCAAGAGATTTAATTTATTTTCTACTCTTAACTGTTGGTTCAGTCATTGCTTTCTCACCCGTTAATATTTATCATCAGTTTTAGTGACTAGACTCACTAAAATAACAACCTTGATAATTATGATCTCATTCTGTAATTACTTTATCTTTGTTATGATATATCTACATATATAGACATGGATAATGTACACATGAATACACTTTACATTTTTTGCCACTCGAAATACATTTTATATTCTATATTTTGGAATTTTTTTGAGCCAATACGATAACCAATAGTTACTTGCTCCTTGTAGCCGATGCCAATAAAATAATTTAATATAAAATAAATATTTTCTGTATTTTGAAAAGAAGTTCATAACCTGTATTTTATGCACACCACAGAGTAAGAAAGGTGGAGCGTTATATAATCTGACCTAACTAAATCTGACCGACAACACTTGTTAACACAGCAAAAACAACAATTCTGACTCCTCAAATGTTCTCTTTTCTTTTTAAGTACATCAGAAAACTTCTCGAACATTCTAAAATAAAAATGGACCGATAATTTATTGGCTATAATTTGATTAATCGGAATGATATAATTTCCCACAATTGACAGATAATTATCACAGATGCTTAATCCATGTATTTTTATTTTTCATTGGTTACTTTATGCTTTTCTTGTGTTATTTATTAATAAATCATAATACTTTATTAATTATTATCATATTAGTTATATTATGTTTGGATTACAAACTGTTTTAAGACATTTTAGAAATATTACATTTTTACATATATTTGTGAAAGCTTTAATTCAATCATGTCACAAACAGCTCATCTTATTATCTATAATAGAGAATGTATGCTGAAAACAGGCAGTATTTTGTGAATATCTCTCTTTTGAAGGAAACTCCTTCAACAAGTAATGCTCAGATTTCTCAAGGGTTATTTCTCAGGTTATAAACAGGAAAGGCAGTGTTGCAACACAAGCCATGCGCTCGAACTTTCAGTTAACTGTTCAACATGCTCTAAAGAAAGTTTGTGCGTGTCAGGTTCATCTGTAATTCTATCTTTACCCGACATAGGTTCAGAGGAGTTTTTCCCCCCAACCTGTAGAAGGCTGTGTTGATATTTTGACTGGAAGAATACTGAAACTGAAAGTGCTCAAACTTGAGTGTCAGCAAATAATTCAAAGCAACAATTGGACAAAAGCTTTGTGTTATAAACTTCATGTAAAGCAGCCAGAGTCTGGTTTTAGAAATGAATCATAACAGCAGAAACCTTTCTCAGTCGGAAAATAAACGGCTCAGAATAATTTTGATGGTCAGTACTCACAGTGTGCCTCAGCGAATGAGAGAGACGGCAGAGCAACCAGCAAGAAAACCCAGCCTGCCACTGCCATAGTCCTTGTCTGTGGTAAAAGACAGGTCACATAAAGTCCTGTGAGATTTCACAGACATGGCTCATGTTCTCAGTCACACTGACTCTCACAGGTTTCTTGACACATTTCCTGACTGGTGAACTGACTGACTACATTCCTATAAAGGGAAGTGAGAGGTGCAGTTGACACAAGGAAGGCAGGTCTGAAACACTCCCAGTAAAGTCCCAGGAAGTTCCACTGATTTGTGTTTATTTGGAATTTAAAGGTCCAGTGGGTAACATTTGGGAGACTCCATTTATTATTCATAGGTATGTTTTCATTAGTGTATAGTCACTCAAAAATGGTTGTGGTTTTGTTACTTCATGATGAGCTGTTTTTATCTACAGAGGGAGAGCCTTTCACATTTTTTATGGCCACCATAGTTTCTCCTAAGGGCTGCGCTGTAGTCAAATGGCTACTACTACAACTTCACTACTACACCACTGAATCCTACACACTGGTGCTGTTAATCTCTCTGTCAATCTCTCTCGTTCTGTCTATCTCTTTATCTCTATCTCTCTGTATGTTACAGTTCGGATTCAGCGTATTTTGTCATTACAGTACTTTCGCTTTAAATTTGTGGTATGATATTCTTACAATACAGACTCAGAGTTTATTTCACATATTTTAGTTGTAGTGTTGTTCAGCTGTTAGAACTTTAATTTCCCTCGGGATGGATAAAGTATCTATCTATCTATCTATCTATCTATCTATCTATCTATCTATCTATAATGAATAATATATACTTCTTATATAAAATATTTTATTTTGTCCACAGGCCAAATGGCTTGTGAATGTTCAGACTTTAGCAGCAAATCAGCATGTTAACATTGCTTTTTTGGCTGGTGAGTGAAACAAACATACCAGCCAGCATTTGGCTGGTGGCCGCTGCCCTGCTTTGTAGGTTTCTAATGAAAAGATCTTTTGTTGTTAGTATTTTATTTCAGAATATTCACTGGACTGACTAATAAGTAAATGTTTGTTTATAACAAAATAGATAGCAGTGAATTTTATAAAGACATGGATTTACATTGATTTAAAAAGTCAGTTATAAATTCAGTATTTGGTAACAAAATATCCAAAAGAACAAAGGGAATATTATGTGATAAGTGATATACTGTTAGACTAAATTGCCACTTACAGTTACACTGACACCATGTATCCATTTATAGAAAACATACATTATTTACTGAAAAGCATGGAGGCACTGCAGAATAAATAAAATATAATAAATATATAATACACTTCCTTAGAGAGCTACAGTGGTAAAGAGCAGACACCGACTGTAATTATGATGCTAATTTTACCTTACCTGGCTGAGTGTTGAGACTTACAGACAGCTGCTTGTTACTTGTAAGAAGCTTAAGACGTGCTTGTAGGTTTTCCACCTCCTGTCTTCACAGTAATCTATACTGTTCCGCTAACTCCTGCATGAAATTTCCACTCAACTGAAAAAAAGTACCACTTGTCTTGCAGTATAGGTTCTGTGCAATGATTCATACCTATGAAATAGGCCATGAAACCACATTTGTTCCAGTTCTGAAAGTGACAGCTGTATATTGACCCAGTGCAATAAAGATTGTATTAATGTGTTACTGTACCACTTTTACAAAGGTAAATTAAAAATAAATTGGATAGTTGGATTGTTATGATACTTAAGATGCACTTCTTCCTGGTCTTTACTGATGACCTCACACTGTGAGAATTGATAGAAATAAAACCTCTAAACAACCATCTCCCCCTCCCTTATAAAATGATCTCTTTCTTCAAATCTGAGAGTTTTCAGTAAAGTCAGTTTGCACCTTCATTACTACTTTATTATGGAATGTTGACATGAATAGATTTCAAGTCTTGAAAGATAAGTTGCATAGTGTATGGATAAGTGGAACCAATTCTGGCCACTGTTAATCTAAAACGTAGAGGAAGATCTATTGAATATTCAGCAGAAATGTGAAGTATATGAAGGTTATGGGTTAACTCACTAGAACCACAACTTCCTTTGCAAATGTCCCATTTATTGACGCTTCTATACAAAGACCGTCATCAGATAATTAATTGAGTTTCCTTTGCTAATTCGGAGGCTTTTGCATACTGCTAAGAACAAAATGCTAAGGGAAACAAAAAACAAAAAGTTGTGCCGTCAATTAATAATAAAAATAAATACATTTCTAATAATCGTTTTCTTCCCTCAGCTTTTGCTCTTAAATAACATTAAAGAAATGGCAGTATATTTGAGATACAGTTCAAATGTTTGCTGCTTGACTTCTCATGATACTGTAGACATTTAGTTTTATTTTACATATTTACACTTTTCATCATACATATGTACATTAAACACATTTTCATTTGGTTTCATCATTCCTTTGTCTACTTTATTCTTCAGTCGCCACCTACCAGGTTATGTCAACAGTTCATGTATTGATGCCGGCAATCTCCGGATATCCCAGACACTGTGATGATCTGCATATCGGGTGCGAGGTATTGCTGTTGAGTCTCCAGTATTTATGAATTGTCTGTGATTACTACCAGACACATTTGTATTGGAAACCAGCTACTCTGTGGTCCAACAGTTGACACTTATATAGGATAACCCCCATCATAAGTTCAGCAGGGCAGTCCTCTCAGGGTGTACCACTCTCTTGCCCCTCACTGGCATATGATACCTTATCTCCTTCCAAAACTTGAAGGAAGGAGAGAGGGATGGCGAAAAGTCTGTGTCCTGTCCATCTTTCTCCTCGTCTTCTCTTCTTCTCAAACATGTCCTCCACCTTTGCGTCGGCCTCTGGTACTTCCACCAACACACAGCGCCCTGCTTCGTCCTCAGGTGACGCACTGACTCTGGGAAGAGAGCCAGCTGAGCCGGGGTGATCTCTTCCAACTCAACCAGAACCACCTGTAAAACAGCGCTCAAATAAGAATCAGGGTGTCTTTTTGTGACAGCGACCTACTAAACTAAATGTTTGTTCTCGTATGAAATATAACAACTAGATGCAACTTTTAAAGACATTGTTCAGAATCAGGACTAGTCCCGAGGCAGTCATGTACATATCAGTGAGCGACTTCTTATTTGTAGCAGGCGCTGACTGTTTCTGTAGCTGGTCAAAAATGAGAAATGGACGATGTCTGCAGATCATATCAGCTGTCGTAAATTAAGAGTATGCTGATAACTAGTACACTGTTGTTTGAATAAAGTGCAAGTCTGTGTCTGTACTCAGTCGAAAGTCCTTTCAGAGTAAAAACTGATTTTTGTACTTCCCATAACTCCAACAGAATGTCTGGCATTTGCCCAGTCGATGTTTCACTCATGTCATATCAATAAATTAAGCTTAGAAAGTTCATATTTGTGAACCAGTCTTTGCATCAGGTAGCTCATGAAAAATGGTGTCTCAGATTCAGTAGGCTACATTTGTTATTATTTCAATGTGACATATACATATTGAATCAACATTTAGTTCAATATAAGGTGAGTCAGACTCTGTGGAGGCACATATCCAAAATTAAAAAACTCCACCAGTGGTAAAAAATAAACCCCCCCTAAAAAAACAGGACATGCTTTGTTCATATTTATATATCAAGAAGACAAAAATCAGCATTAATTTGATTAGCATTTCTGATAACCTGATTATTGTAAATCAAGTATTCTACCAATATATATTTGCTTTATTAAAGATCAATAGTAAATATATAATTCAGATCCTTCCTCCACCTCTCGTTAGCCCACCCACAGCCTAACTGCACTCGTGTGTTACCGGTTGAACCTTCCCCTTTGAGGAAGGTGGAGTCTACCGGGTTTGTTGTGAAAGTATTTCCCAGTAAGTCCGATGATTGATTGCGTTATCTCCTGTGATATTTTTCTGCAGCAAAAGAATGACAGCTCGCTGTTCCACTTCCTTCACCATCTAGTCTTTCACTTAGTCTGCCTGCTGTTTGGTGCTTAGTGGGTCGTGTACAGTGAGTTTGTCAGAGCTTGTATTCTGAGAACAATTTCTGGGATTGATGAGAACTGTGAGATGAAACTATAAAGTAAATGTGCTGTAAAACCAAGAAAATGGTTTGCTTTGTTTTGGTTTGCATCACATCCTTTTCACATTATCAATGGTTAAATAATTAAGAATTTGCTGTCAAGCATATGCATTAACAAGTCTGTTTTCTCACCTTGAGAGATCCCTCCAGCAGCGCTCTGTGCATTGCTGCCACACACTCCAACTGCTGCCTTGTGTCTTCATAGACTTGTTCACTACCATCAAAAATCGTGTTATTCATCATGCTTTCGGTATTTTCGCTGCTATTGCTGTTCTTAGAGATGATGTTGTTATTGCTGCTGGTGCTGCTTGTGTGTCTTTTGCTGGTGAAAGAGGAGGCGGTGTAGATCAGAAGGAGGCGGCAACTGGCTTGTATGTTCTCTTCCACAGAATCCACTATGGCTGCAGGGTGGAAATGGAGACACAGCGGAGTGTTGTTAATAGAACATGAGTTTAATAAGTGATGACCCCCAGTGTAGTAACACATACAGTAAAGGGTATGTTAGTGCACAAACCATAATAATACTAATATTAATAGACCAGGGGTTCCTGACCTGTAGGTCTGGGCCCCCCCCAGGTGTTGCATGCATACATGAAAATCACTCACCTTTCGGCGAAATTCACCGTTTTGAAACCAAAACAGGTGACCTACGTAAATCGTGTAGATGAGAAAATGTTTGGGGGGGGCATGTAGGTACCAGAGATTCAGTGAACTGTGAACAGGTGCGCGTGCCAGAAGGGAGCGCGAGTGCATGGAAATATTAGCACGAAGGGCCTTGCATCACCAGTTTCTTTCTCTGGGAAGGTAGGGGAATACCATTACCTGATTGGTTTACAAGCAGTTCGCTTCGCTTGTGTTTTAATATTTTCAGGTATATCTAAGCCAACCCTACCCAGGAGCTCTGTTGACATAGGCTTAGCTAACGTTAGCTACAGCTTGATGAATTGAGTCATTGAACACAGCAGGAGAGAACGCAACCAGAGAATGTCTAATAAGAAGAGAAGTTCCACTCTCGGTACACTTCCGGGTTCTGAACTGTTGCAGTTCCCCTCTGGTTCCATATGAGGGCGCTCACAGGATGAGTGCGGAATGAATGGAGCTCTATGGAGCTATACCCCTCAAAATCCACTTTTCTCAGGATATAATTTTTTGTCTAGTAATTTCAATGTTGGATTCGAAAGCGGATGCAAAGAAATTACACATTGCTGGGTGTTAGATTTTTTAGAGTCACAAAAAGTCTTTTAAAACGTCAATGACGTCATACACATCGTACGGCCAGAGATACTGCTTTACGGCAAGCCTTGAGTCTCTTTGTGCTTCCGTGCTCTGCACTTCCTTTTCTCTCGAGGCATCGAAAACACAGACATAACGATAGGCAGATAAAAGTACCAGCAACCCAAAAAAAGTTGCTGTTTAAAAAAAAAAAAAGAACTTGGGCGAAAAAATCCGCCTTAACATTCTGGTCCCGCTTTGGATGCCACGATGCCATCAAGCGGGATCTCTGGTCGTAATCAGTCCTTCACTGACCAATCAGCGTTCATTAGCAGAATGCTAGCGTGTTATGGGCAACAACAACTCAACCTGTAAGAAATCGAAAGGACATAAGTACTCGTTCATTCAACTTTCGACCTATAACCCATGTTGAACTTGCAAAAACTACAATCAAATCTGAGATTTCTCAACGACAATCAGGTGAAAGAGACAAATTTAGCTGTCTAGCTCCATCTGCTCCCATTCATTCAGCACTCATGGGCGACCGCCCCCAGTGGAACTCTGGTGGAACTGCAACCAAAATTCGGTACAATGGGACTTAATAGAGAGTGGCCAGGCTCTCCGTAGACAGGCTCTGACGCAACGTTAGCCAGCTAAAGCTCCGGTGAAAAATTATTAGCTAACGCTACCGTTAACGTTAGCCTAATATTAGCTAGATATTGGCTGTGTCTCATTCCGCATACTTCTGTCAGTACACCGCTAATGTGCACTGACCACTTACTGCCGTAGTGCCCACTTTCGATGGTTAGTATTGTCCCAACAGGAACACTTACGTTAGAACACTTACCAGAAATGACGAGCGTGACGAACGCGACGAACGCAACACACGTGAACGCGACTTTCCAGCCCGCCAAAAATATATGCCGGCTTTTGTTTACAAACATTTTTCTGCACGTTCATTTACCACTCAGTTCACAGCATGTGGAAACTACGTCGCCTCCGACGCCAACGCAGGTTAGAGTAGCTAGGTAGTATTAACATGTAACGTTACGCTAATTAACTCGCCAAATGATTATGTCTGGCTTCAGTCAGTGTCAGTAAGGACATGTAAGTAATGCATTAGACGACAGTAAAACGTTTCGTATTACCGCTGTTACTTACATTTATATGATCTCGTCCCAATGGTCCCTCCCCTTCCGCTTTGTAGTCAAGATGGCGTCCGTTTAGTGCGAGTAGGGTCCATCATTCCACACTGAATTTTTTGACCGTTTTTAGGGGTCATCCAGGTACTTTCAGGACTTTTTGTGTTATCTACACTATATACTTAAAACGTATGAAGTGTGCAAGTAGGCGGAATGAGACACAGCCCTTGTTATTAAAGTTAGCTGCTAGCTTGTATAGCTAACAGTAAATCACAAAAAAGAAATAATAAAATGTATTAAAATCTGAATTACATAACATTGTATTGGCTGTCAATCATGATGGAAGAGTAGACAAGTTAAGTTACAGCATGTCCACCATCTCTTGTGGGGGTTATGCATTAAGCCATTTATGGTGCCTTTACCACATTGTGCCTCATATACTGTAAATGTTAGACCCAGTGACAGGCTGGCTGACAATGGCTTGCATAATACTTAGTAAGGAGGCCATAATATTTTTGACTCATGGCAGAGGTTAAGTTTCTCCAGCTCTGCCCAGGTTGGCAAAAAATGCATCTCAAAATGCATCAGATTGATGCTTTAAAATATGGAATATACAAAATCTTTTCCGGGGGACCCCCGGACCACCCTAGAAGGGTAAGTTCATTCTCACCTTTTTCACCCCATGCCTGTTCATGGTAGATCTAAGGGGTAATAGAATAGAGCAGAGAAACATCTTTGTGCTACTCAAAAAAAAAAAAAAAAAAACAGACTTGCCAATAATCTTTCTCAAAACAAGTAGACACTGCTTTGTTTTGAGGAGTCACAAGCCAAAAGGTTTAGAACCATTGATTTTGGATTAAAATGGGTTGATTTTGGTTTTCTGATAAAAGCCGTGGTTTACCAGATTCGCGTCTTACTCATAAATCACTAAACAAGTTATTTAGTAACTTGGATAGCAGCCTGGACAGTCAAGTAAGTCAAAATATGCCACTGGCATTCAGCCAAAACCAATCTTGCCTTCAGTCTACCACTGCTACAGTATATATGTTAAGTTCTGTTGTAAAGAACCAGTAATTTACTGGTTCATGATTGACAATATAATACTAGTAGTGACAAACTAAGAAACGGCTCTCCAGATCAATTTTGAAGCTTTAAAGGTGTTTTTCAAATAGCATTATTTTTTTCAGAGCAGAGCGACGGGATCAAAATAAATAATATGTTTTAATTGAAGACACGCCACCCCCATATCTGAGTCAAATAATATTCTAACATAGGCAACTTACACTGGCCGGGCAGGCAGTCACGTCCTGGTATGAATAGTTTGTAGCCACAGGACTGCTCCAACACTTGAGGCAGTGTTTGAATGGAAAAGGCCTCCACATCCTTGCTGTATCCAGCAGCACAGGGCAGTGGGTAGGCCACATAGGCATCATAAAGCTTCCCATCCAAATCTGAAAGGAAATTTAAGAAGAGTTCATGTGTACTTTCAGGGGCGAGTCTGCAAGTATAGATCTTTAATGTATGGCTGGGTTATATGATAATCATGGTTCTTGGGACTCAATGTTTAAGATAGTTGAAGATTAATAATGTTAAAGGGTTCAGGGTTTACTCTTGTCAAATGTTGAGCTAAGCAACAATTTATTTATTTATTAACCGCATAACCTTAAAATCAGATTGTGAAGACTTGATACCACTGGGCTTCAGGCAAAATGTTAAAATGCAGTCCTTAATGTTAAAAGGCTATTTAGTTGCATAATCAGCGGATGCATTTCATCAGAATTACTGCAGGCAGCTCTGTGGTTAGTTCATTTCCTTTGCTTGCTCTCATTGTTGACACATGCGGTCAGGTATGAGATAGAGCCTAAGGTTCAGTGTTGTGATATATGTATGGGTACTGTACGTGTGTGTGTGTGTGTGTTGTAAGGTCAAAACAGTGTTGGTTTTTCCCATCTTGTAGCATTGTGGGTTTAGTGTAAAAGTACTTTTTGTACTTGTGGGCTGACACATTATGGTTACATTATACACTGCATATAATAAAGAGCTCATTACTAATTACATACCTGCTGAAAATTATTACCTTTATTTGTATAGAGGACAGGAAACGCTCTCCTGAACCACAGCACAATGTCAACCTTAAAAAGGTAGTAGATGATGAAACTGCTGATAAAGAGAACCATCAGACCACAAAGCACCAATCCAATGGGAAGTAGGATGTTGGGATCTGTAGAGGTGAACATACAGTTTTAGTGTGTCCTGTGTTATTCAGACTTTTGTGATTCTTGCAATAGTGCCCTTCTCTGGCAGAGCCATTTGACTCCCCAAACACATTGCACAATGGCATAAAAGTATGACTAAAATTGTATTGTATGGCTTAGACTGTGATAATACAGGGAGAAATTTCAGAATATTTAATTGAATAATGAAAATATTTGTGAATATATAAAAATGTTTTGTAGTGGTTTCCTTTTTATAATAATTTTGTATGGACAAGGAAAAGACCTGCACTTATGATTGTGGCCACATTTTCTGCACCAAGACTTATCTACTGCAAGCGTACAGGAAAAGCGTAAACCTACACCCTGTACTGGTCATGTTTCTAACAGGAAAGATTATCATTACTTTGAGAGTTTTCATTTAGCAGGGTTACTCTGTTTTTACCTTCTGGCAGCAAAGTGAAATATCCCCTGGAACAGCCCCTGTCACTGCACGCTTGACAAGTGTAGTTGATGTTGAAATCCTCCTCCCTTAGCCCAGAAATCATCAGCAGTCGCTCCATCCACACACCTTTAAGAGCAACTTCCTGACTCCACACAGGTGGACTGGTGAGGACAGACGGATGAGAAAAAGAAAGGTAATGCAACAAAATGAGATGCTGCAGGAGTTCCCAATTCTTAATACTTTACATTCGGGGGTTATAATTCTGTATATATCCCAAGAAATCTGTGAGCTCGTACAAACTTTAAAACTCTCACTTGTCGTAACCCAAAAGCAGTAGACAAATGAAAACAAATAAGAGGAAAGGTAAGGGTGCTGACCGTTCTTCTGATGTGTAGACACGATCAGAAGGATTGGTAGTGAAGATGAAATCGCCTTTGACCAACCAAATCATATCCACGAAGGGCATCCTCCCAACACACGGCACAAACACGAGGCACCGCTTGGTGAAATTGGATGCTAAACACATACACAAACAATAACACAAGTTATACTTAATAATGTCTCATATATATATGGAATGGCGCCTGTTACAACGGCAGCCTGTTATGGCAGCTAGGCTGCTATAATTGTTGTAGTGTGTTTTCATTGTGTTTTTATCCTGTGTTTTTTGCTATTTTTTACAGTTTTCTTACTTTCTTACTACTTTTTTCACATTGCCGAAATACTTTTTCGGCGTTTTAGAGCACTTTTTATTTTTTGTTTGCACTGGTCTCCATGGCGACGGGGAGTCGCATTGTTTACACCCGCGACCAGATGATTGCCCTGAGGCACCGTAGCATCCTGACTGGAGAGAGACCCTCCGTACCAGAGGAGCTGAGGAAGAGACGGCGAGGCTGCAGAGCGGTGGTTAAACGAAGGAGGAAGAAGAGGAGGTGTAAACTCTACATCCCTGCAGTCATCACAGGAAACGTAAAGTCGCTGGCAAATGTAGTGGATGAACTGGAATCCCTCACCAGAACACAGAGGGAGTACAGGGAGTGCAGTATCATGTGTTTCACGGAAACTTAGCTACATGAGCAGATACCGGACTCCAACATTACCATTCCCGGCTTCCAGACGGTTCGAGCCGACAGCGACCGGCAACAAGAACAAAGGAGGGGGACTGGCCGTGCTCATAAACAACAGGTGGTGTAACCGCGGGCATGTCTGTGTGAAAGAGCGTGTCTGCAGCCCAGACATCGAGCTTGTCGCCTTCGAACTTCGTCCATATTGTCTGCCACGTGAATTTTTCCAGTGTTATCGCCATCACTGTTTACATTCCTCCGTCTGGGAAAGCAGAAGCAGCGTGTGACGTCATCCACACTGTGACTGCAGGACTACAAACGAAACATCTGTAGGCCTTCATCATAATCACAGGGGACTTCAACCATGTTTCTCTCTCGTCCACACTCCCAACCTTCCACCAGTTTGTCACATGCACCACCAGATAAAATTTCGATTATTAACTTATCTGCATCGAGACGGAATCGTTCTAGAGAGAATCGCGATGTATCGAAGAATCGATTATTTTTCCCACCCGTACTTGTCACCCTGGAGTAGGTGGTGGAGGAGAAGAATCTATCTATCTATCCAAACAAAGTAGTGTCACTTAAACAAATGGAAACTTCACTGGTGCGTGCCTAAGTCAGTTTCAATTACAGACTTTAAATTTAATTTAATTTAAAATGAATATGTTTTAGATAAGGACTCACCGATCGCTGCCTTGATTATTTCATTGGCGGGTTCATGCACTTGTGGAACCAAACAGTACTCCTCTGAAAGACAGGCAACTTAAGATACAGTAACACAGACATATATTGTATATATAAATCAGACTGGCAACATGTCATCATGCCCCTAGCGCCAAGGTCCCGCCCCATTTGAAAGAAAAGCAAGAATAGCACTTTGACATATGTTAACATGAGAAACTACAGTGAATCTAGAAATAGCCACACCAATAAGAACAGCTTTCACTGTGTGATTTAAGACACATAATCCATACGTTGGATTCATTTTCACTGTGATAGATAATATGCTAAATGTTTCTTGTGAACTTCACTACTGATGGATAGCTAAAGTTAGCTTGACAGTTGCTAACAACTAACCTCAACATAGCAGCAGCAGTAAGCTAGCATGTCTCCAACTACATCTCAGCCCAGATCATACAGTTGGATGTTAACAGGTTGGTTGTTTACAGACACACTTAGCCTAATGCTGGATCAGCAATCTGGCCACTTCTTTTGGGCATTGATCCACTGGGACAGGGGAATTCTGAAGGAGCATGATGGCTGAGCAGCTGGCCGATGGGTGACAGAACTATGTCGTGGACAAACAGCCTAATGTCCCTACCTCGCACACTCAAGTACTTATATTTGCTCTAACCTGTGACCCATGCTTCAATGGTCTCTGACACGGATCCCGTGATGCCACCGAGGGTGAAAGTCAGGGTGCAGGTATAGGAGCTGTTGTTTTGATCTTGCACCCCGTCAATCTTCAGTTTATTCCTGTCCATGTAGGAATACTTGCCTGTCTCATCCACTATGGGAACACAACCCTAGATGAGAAAAGGAAACATAAAAAGTCAAGCTTTTTATAAAACAAATACTATATTTATGATGGTAAACATAGGAGTAGCCAGGTGAGCAGAATTGTGTCTGGGAAATACCCATATTCAAACAACTCTCACTGTGTTATAGTAATAATCCACTGACTGATGCATTGTATATCTCTGTAATTGACAGCAGAACTAGGTAGTTAGCATGGGTTAGCTAATATGCTGAGCAGACAAAGAAAAGACACCTACAGAAAGTCGGAAATTTATAACATAACATTATGTAACTTTTCTACCTTAAAGTAACAGCTTTACTATCATTTCGATGTTACACTGAGTTTTAATCAAGCAAATAGTCCCTCTGTCATTCCCACTCTGCGCCCCCTATGTCTGTTCTTGCTCTATGTAACTTTTTGGGTCAGTACAAGTGCATTATGCTTCATGGCAGTAGTCACACACCACCAACTTTGTCACCAATGTTGGTAAAATATTTTGAAATGGAGGGCCACTGTATCTGACAAGTTGGGACTTGGGGTTATGAACGATTTGTGAAATTCACAAAGATTTTTATTAAGGTAACTTAAATCTATATCAGATAACTTTTTCATAGTAAAATAACTTTTAATTTGCACAGATATTGTATCTTGTACCTACTGGCTATAGTGAAGCCTTTTGCCTAATTTAAGAACCTACCAAATTGCCTTCTTCAATCTAGTGTACGGTGTACTGGATAGGGCACAAACCCTGTTTAAACCTACTCTAGAGCATCTGGAGTAAAGTCAATAGGTTAAGGAATATTTCATGACAGTGACAAGTCATTCTTATCACTTACTCTGTACCACTTGATGGAGGATGTGATGTTGTAGCTATCCAGTGTATTCATGAAGTCTTTCAGAGGGCAGGACAGTTTGTCAGTGACTCCCTTTGTAAGTGTTTGACGAGCTTTCACCGGCCTTCCACACTCTCCAGCAACTTTCTGATTCACCACCAGCCTGGTTGCCTGCTTGTAGCACTGAGTAGGAGTTCTGTTGAATTAAGGAGAAAATTACCTTTTTTCATCATCAGTGTACAGCAGCTGAATCTAGAGCTTCTCAGTTTTAGGACTTTTGTGTTTGAAACAGAGGAAAAATGTTAAGTACCCACGGCATTGTGAAACTCTAGACAATGCAACTGTCAACTTTCAACTACTGATGCTATTGTACCTCACTATGCTGACATATTCCCCAGTGTCGTTCAGCGTTGCGTTAAGAAACCACAGAGTCTCCCCGCGCACCAGGATTCGACCAGTCTGGTTGCTCATTTCTTGGCCTGTCTTTGAGTCGTACCAGGTGATGTTGTAAGGGATAGCTGTGAAATTGAAGACCTCTGGAGACACCAGGTTGCTATTCAGCATAGCCATATCCCCAGGAACGGAGTAAACCCTCTGGAACTGGGGCTTGTGGTCGGTACAGCTGTCTGTAACACACACATCAGTGGAGAATTGATAAGTTATTCATTCCACCATTCAACACTGATGGAGCTCTGAGCAAACCTGTCAGTGTCAAATCTGTGGTGTTTTCAGCAACAAGTAATTGTTTGGTGGGCTAGGCTCGGCAATTCTATTTATGTAGCAAATATCATTACAAGAAAACTTTAAACCTAACTTTAAAGTGACTGTAGAGGAAAGAGGTCTTTACTCATACTCAATACTTACATTTGTTCTCATGTGTATTTTTACTTTCAAAAAACATCAGTCATCACAATACTGTAAATATAATTCAGCAAATGTTTCTTTTATATCTTTTCTGTCTTTCTCTAGTATGTTAAAAACTTTGAATTGCCTTGTTGTTGAAAGGTGCTACACAGACATGTTTGCCTTGCCTTTCCTTCTTGTAGGATTTTTTTCCCCAGGAAATACACCCCTGTCTAGGGGGAAGGAGCGCAACATAAATGTAAGAAGAAAATACAAACCAATAATACTACCCCGATTCCCAAACCAACAACGAACATGGATTTAACAATCAAGTGAAGTGATTTATTTACAACACATGGCAAAAGTGCAACAAAACCAGGAACAACCTTCAGGGTGAACCAAGGCCAAAACAACAAACAAAACAGTTTCTCAAACAAAATCCTGACAAATCCTTATTTAACATACGAGTAAAACAAAAGACATTTACTAACCCTCACTCCCTAACCTAATGAAAAACAGGAGAAAAGCAGTACAAAAGAAAATAGCATTTCACCCCTACAACACCCACTATATACAACCATAAGAAAGAAGAAAAAATAATACTAATTTCACAAACTCGCCAACCACAACGCTAGTACAAAACACACTCTCTTAACGGACCGAGGACAGAACGATGCTGCTACTAGGTATTCTGTCAAAGACTTCTGTGAGGCCCGACGTTTTAAACTCAGCGGATGTTGCGACTGTCACATGTCAACACTCCACCAGCTGAGCCCACGTCATTAATCAGTCGGAGGGGAGACCTACATGTTGCCGTCAAAGATCTCCTGCAAGACAGGCTGCACACTCCTGTAGAAAAACAGGGACAAAATACAAAACAAACCACAGACGAAAACAATACCAAATAACAATACGGCCAGGGCCATAACACCAACGTTCAACAAGCAGCTCGGGGATTTAGAGCTGCCCCAGAGTACATCAGGTCTGACCAAGTATTTTTCCATGCTGCTCTATCTCACTGAGATGGATGCTTCCAATTCCATGCAAGCTGAAGCTAAAATTAGTTTGGCTTCCCATCTTACCACTATTAGTAAACAGAAGCTGCAATGAAGATTTCATTGGTGCATCATCACCATATATAATGTATGGTGCATAGGTTTTAGTAGTGATGCCAAGGTTAAATCTGAAAAGGTAAAAATTCCTTGATATGTCTCACAGAAACAGGAAGCTGTCTATTTTCTATTGCTATCTTGTTACTGAACATGTATCCTGTCTGCTTCACATTTACATCTTGAGCTGCCCACTGTGACCACTATGTGCCATTAATGGTCACTGAGCTGTTGAGGACGTCAGGGCCTTTCTGAGTGATACTTTATTAAACTAGAATTACTCAGATTCTCTTTGTCCAGAGCAAGAGCAAGTCTGTTCTCAACCAATAAAGCTTAACACTGTAGTATTTAAGCTAAAAAACCTTTCTGAGCCATTTTACTGCACCACAAAGAGTTAAACTTTGTTAGTTGGTCAGGTTCTAATCCCAGGTGAGCCACTTTAGCACTATAACCACTATATATGTTGCATCCGGTCAAGAATCATGTTTTTTGTTTTTGTTTTTGACTGTCCAGGATTAGAGCCAGCAACGTTCCTTCTGGTCAAAAGCCTGCTTCACTGACTTTTTTACTTAATTGAGCTCAACCAAAGAAGTTCCGGTGTGACTACAATAGTAGCCTGGCAGGCTTTTTTCCAAGACTAGTCGGAAATCAGTGTGAGACTTGTGAAGAGTTCAAATCTGTCACAGACACCGAGGACTGACTGAACTATAAACAATGCTGGAGTTCCAACAGTGGCAACAAGAGGGCGACAAATGCTTGTGTACAGACTGGAGACCAATGATGAGAGTTAAACTCGGCAAAAACATATGAAAAGGAATACTTACAAAAACATCTAACATTTTATATTTGCAGATTTGTTTGAATAGCCGGAGAGCTAGTGTTTATGTAGAGAAATCTGCGTGACAGCTCACCCTGTACAAATCCTGTATGAATCCCATGTAGCCCGAGGAAAACCATAAGGCTCCCCAGTGTTAAACTCAGGTCCATGGCTGAAAAACACACACATAAAAAAAGTTAGAAATGAAATTAACATGACAGGGTGAAAATGCAACAACAGCAGCCTGAAATCATAAAATCATGACAAACAGCTGACAGCTTACTGGAACACTTTTATCTAGTGACACGGACAGCTCACAAAAGGCTGTAAAACACAGCAATAATCAGCAAAAATAGTTTTCTTTCCCCTTTTAAGCCAAACTTTATCCTACCTCATTTTTCAAAAGTATGTCTGTCTTCCTCTCTGTGCGTCTTGCTTCTCCTTTTTCCTAACCCTCTCTCTGCCTCTCTCCCTCAAACATAGATGACGATCGTTGTGGTATATCAGCAGTCATTTGTGTGTAAACCTCTGACAAAGTGCTGCGTAATGCTTTGGAACTGGAAGGATGCCCAGCATTCCTGAGCACTGATAATCACAAGTGTATGTACTTGGTATTGTGAATGAACACTGGTGTCTGGTGCAATTACTGCAGTTAGTGTGCTGGTTTGAGTCAGTCAAGTTTTTGGCATGACTCTAGTACAAAATCTGTGACACCGTATTGTAGTGGTTCTCAAACTGTGTGGCAGAGAGCCACTGCAGATGGCGTGCAGGGGGAAAATATGCAGTGAAACTAAGCTGAGGGAATGTGGTTTATGTAGGTAAAACAAACAAGAGTTTGCTGATACTGACCTATATTTCACAAAAAATGTATTTTGATCCTTTTTTATTAGTTACTACTTAAAATTGTGGGGTGGTGTAGCATTAAGTTTTTTGGCTTTTGAATGGGGGCAGGCCAGATAAAGTTTTAAGGACCGCTGGCATAGTGAAAACAGAAGGTTATATTTAGACTATACTGTGATTACATTTCCAGTAGTCCTAGATAGTATGGAAGTATGAACTATGGTAGCTTTGGGTATTTTTCACCTATAGTGAGTGGTATCGGTTCCCGTTCCTCTTAATATTCTGTGTAGGAGTTCTGTGAATTTTGTATTTTCAGTAACTCTTAGCCCGACCAATATGTTGGCCTATTGCAGTATCAGCGAATATGTTGCCTGATATGTGCCAATATTTAAACTTTTTTTCCCCCGGTATATAATGCAAAAAATGCTTTGTAATACATTGGGGGTCACTGCAAAGTTTATCCAGGAGAGTACGCTGTGATGTACATGCAGCACAGAGTAAGAGAGAAGAAGCAGCTCTTAACAGTGCTAATTAGTTGACAGTGATAAACTGACATGTTAAATAGTATTAATGTGAATATTCTTTATCAAAGTTATTTGTTTAAGAAAGCAGCCTTCTGAGTACCTTAACATTGTCATATGGATGCACAGTCCACAAAGAAAAGGTACATTTTTGTTACAGCTCAATTTTTTTTTTTTTTTTTTTTTTCCTCCTCCTCTAAAATCAGTATGGGTCTCAAAAATCCCATATTGGTCGGGCTCTAGTTACTCTTGGTCCTCTGTCCAGTTACATTCACTGTTTTAAATGGATGACTCCAATCACATTAACACAGTTATTGCTGAAGTTAGGGTTAGGGTAACCCCTATGCCAACGTGCTTGTCCTTGTGCCCTCTGATCTTTGCTATTACAAACGCAGTGCTACCAAAATCCTAATCCTATCCTCATCCACGCATTTTGCTGGCCATTACTTTTCCCAATCCGAAACTTGTGGAAAACTTACTTGGCCCATTACATACATAAATTACTTTAGAAAAGGGGAGGTAGGTGTGTAAGATAGATGTTGTCAGAGTAGGTCATAAGTAGGAGGCAGACCCAGGAGGTTGTTGTTTAATTCCCTTTGTGTGGGCATTTATTCAAGTGCTTCCAAAAATGTGAAAAGCCACAAAAACACAACTAAAAATATTTGCAGAAAACTGAGGAAAGAAATCAACTCTTACTGAAATCAAATTAACAGCACTTGTCCAAGCTGCAATCTCTCTCTCTTTTCTCCCTTTCCCAAGAGATATGATCTTTATACATTCTTACCTGTCTCAAGACTACGCCTGGAATAAACCATCCTCACTTCAGGTGGTATTAGTTAAAGATATCTTACATCAAGACACAAGCTTCACCAAACATCATTACTCATAACACAATTCAAATTTCCTGTGGTGCTGAATGCAACACCAACTCAATATTCCCCACCATTCATAAAATGAGAACGAAACGAAATTAAATATTCAACTTATTCCCCCTTTAACTTGGTACGTCCTTGATGTAATTGGTGACGTCATCATATTCATATTAACCAGCGCATTTCAGGGCTCCAGAGTGCAACCAAAATTTTTAAGAGTGCGACTGATAATTTTTCAAGGTCGCACTGGTGCACCTGATGCTGCCCAGGTGAAAACATACATTTATTTTGCAAGCGCATCATCTCTCTGGGTTTTCCTGTGACCGAACTCACACACTCATGGTAGGCTCATATCGTGTTCTAAACCAATAAGAGACAGAGCTCGGGCGGGTCTCCTCTGATTGGCTTTGGTCCTGTTCACTGCGCTAAATTGTGTGTGTTTAAAAATTGCGTGCGACCTGAGCGCCAGAATAGCTGACTAACTGAAACGGAAAAATAAAATAAATGCGACAAAACGAGGGAAAATGAAGAGAGGCAGAAATATTTTAAGTTTTTTCATTAAGAAAACCAAGCCTACAACCAGCCGTTCTACTATAATCCCATCCATCCCCACTACTGAGAGTCCATCCCGTCAAGACACGGAGCCCTTGGTCCCTGATGAGATACCAAGCCCCGGTCCTTCGGCGACAGCATCAGACTCGGAACCAGAGGAGGAGACAACCGAGTCTGGGATAGAGCCCGGCTCCGAGACCCAAATTAAAAAGGTCAAAATATATTCCTTCAGACAGGACTGGCTGAAACAATTTCCCTGGCTGAGGTACAACAAAGGACGTAACGCAATGCACTGCGTGTACTGTCAGGAGTGTGGTCAGAATATGGACGGAAATAGTGCATTTGTGAGCGGGTCAACAATGTTTCATATCGAAACTTTAAAAAAACATAACATGTCTAAAAAACACACGATATGCCGTGCATGAGAAACCTGCTATAAGATTTTGAGACGTGATGTTAGGTCTCAGTTCAGTGAAGCTCTTTAAAAAGTAGCACTTTTTATTTTGAAATGTTTTATTTTGCTTGAAATGTTTGAGACTGAAATGTTCAGTTTCAGTTCAGTGAAGCTATTTAAGCACAAGCACTTTTATTTGGAAATATTTTATTTTGCTTAGTGTTTTAGTTTGAAATGTTCTATTTCAGCTCAGTAAAGCACTTTAAACACTTTATTTTTCTTTTTATATATAATTGTGCTTCAAATAAAGACAAGCATTTCTCTACACCTTATTCTTGTTTAAAAATCATTCACATTATTAGAAAGTTATGGAGAGCGATAAAAAGGTGACCTTATAAAGGCGACGCGATGAAAAATTTGGGTGCCCCTAAAAAAAAAAAAGTTAGGCGCACCAGTGCAACCAATGCAAAAAGTTAGTCTGGAGCCCTGCATTGCGGGGCGGCCCCCTCTCACACAATGGCTTTCGGCGTCAGGTAAGATAATTACTGAAATAACTTTAAACGTGCTAAATCGAACAAAATTTCAAGCGAAATATATAACGAAACGAACAATAAAACTTAGTGAAAAAACAACCTTTGCCTGTCATTATTGTAGTAACCTTAACTTATGGATGTTGAAGATCATAAAGAAATAACGCTAAACACAAAATAGACCCGGAGTAGTAATGTGCATGTGCGTTATCAGCTGAAATGAATTTATGGTTAACGTAAACACCAATGAATAAACAAAGGTGTACAAACAAGAAAACAGGGAACCTAACAAGTCAATATCTAAATAAATAAGTGACAAATGGCAGCGATTAGTGAGTCCACTTTGTCACAAGGTGACTGACCCAAATAGGCCGAGGATAATTAGACCCGATCCAAAGTAAACTGACCCAGATAGAAAGAAAGAACCAGCACTAATTAATGAGCAGCTGCAATCAAAACAAGTAACAATACATTTTTATACACTCAAAAACAAAGAAAACAGATTGTGTGTGTGTGTGTGTGTGTGTGTTGTGTGTGTGTGTGTGTGTGTGTGTGTTTCGAGAAACAAAGGATTGCAAAAATGGTATCGTGGACAAAGTTAGTCTTTGATCAGCTACTGTATTAGTCTGGAAGTCACTCCCTGACAAGAGTTTGATAAGTTAGTGAATAAGCCAGGGAGAACCCTGAAGATTTGTAAACTGATTTAGAACCACATCTTTCACCACATGATACTATTCACAATTCTGAAACAAACATCAGCGATTCCACCTGAGGTAGCTCTGAGTGACTGTTCCATATGTGTATATGAAGCTGAAAGCAGCATATTTATTACTCTTACCTGCATATCATTTGTGTATTTAACTTTTAACTTAATTTAAGGTTTTTTTTGTTTCACTGTGCTCTACCACCAAGTGAAATTCCTGCATACACTTGGCGAATAAAGCAATTTTGATTTGAGTGTTATTGCTTTGTAGGGTGTCTGCATTTTTAGGAAAGCTGAGTTAAAATCCTTCAAATCAGGGCATACCCTTTGCTCCCCCTTTTTTAGGGTAATTCAAGGGATATTTAAGGCGAAAACTGGGGTTTAAAGAGGTCTAACCCTATTATGGATGCGTTTTCATTCTAAAAAATAAGATTATTGGAGGAAAAGTCAAAAACTGGAAGCTGAGAAAAAAACACTCAAACACAGTGGAAGATTGGTAAATGATCATAGAGTCAATTTTCAACTTTGAATTGAAGATAACGACATTGGCCCTTATCAGTCAAACTCTTGTTGCATTGTCAGTAGAGCGCTAAGACAAACAAGAAAACTTCACAAGAAAACAGTAGCAAAATAATGTGGGGAACTGCTGAGGTGAGAAGACCTTACAGAAGAGGAAATTTACCTAAAGCTACACCTTCCTATCCCACTACCGGAAGGCCCACCGCAGAAGAAACACAGATGGAAACAAAACTGTGTAGAT